TGTAATAAAGGTAACCTGGAGTGGCACATGTGTCACAACATGCTGCAGAACCGAATTCCATGCCTTCGTACCGTCATGCTCGTTTAATACGAACGTTGGTAGATTGGACTACAGAAACAAAATGAAAAGACCGAGAAATATTTAATTCTTCCGTTCGTTAGTAATGTACTTCGTTATGCGTTTTTCTGTTCTCTGGGAGCATATCACGAGCATATCACGAGGCCACAGTTTAACAGTCGTTGAACGGTGTACTCTATAAACGCATCATCTACAATAAACTTCGTGCCAGCGCAATGCATAAAATGCTCTATTACATCGCCAAAAAAAAAAAAAACGCGGATTTCACCGAAAGAAACTCGTAAACTTCGTTAGATATTAAAACGTCAAATTTAGAAATAGCACTGCCATGAACGAGATTAACTCTATGGCCAAATTTCACTGCAAAAAGCGCTCGAATAACTGCACCTTGCAGGTATGCAATATACATTGCATGAGGTTTTAGAAGTGTGGTGACATTATTAGTTAAGGTTACATTGTTTTAGCGTTGAATTAGCTTTTTAGTCACGTTTACTGTGCTTTTAAAGTTAATATTTCACCTCATCGGTAATTTAGTGACGTCATTTCATTTCCACATCTTTAAATGAGAGTTATGAATAGTTGATATCCAAGGATTTCTTTAAATATATGTGACTGGTGTTTATCAAAGGACCAACCCTAGAACGAGTGCCGGGAAGGGGAGGGGGGGAGATATGAACAGTTTATAATTTGAAAAATAAAATTTTCGGCTTTACAAGCCAGAACTTCAATACGACACCAAGGCACGCCATAGTGGGAGGTTTTAAATATTCGAAACCATAGGTTGGCAAAATAAATAGAGCCTATACATAGACTCTCTCAGTAAATAGGCTTTCATCTTAGGACTCAATATAGGGCCCAGCCTATAGCTGAAATTTCAGTCACATATAGGTCACCGAAAATATTTTTCTCTCGAAAGAATTTTCGCGATAGACTGATTTCAATGGAGTAAATCAGCCCGACTTTTTTTCGAATACACCTGAGATAGTCGACAAAACGTTTAGGACGTTTGGCGGGGAACGACCGATCAAACTTTACGTTGATAACTATCACTTTTCGTCTCCACTGTCTCTTTCTAAGTTCGTGTTCTTCCTTTCTTGACATTCAACTTCACAGTATTTTAACAAATCCGCATCATATTGGTTCTATAGAAGACAATAGCTTGTGGTATACGCATCTTAAACAAAACTTGGCCATGCACTTACGCCCCCTCTCATTGTTTTGTATCAATCATTTCAGCGTTCTCATTTCACTTACGGTATTGCCGCGTGGTTGCGACGTCAAAGAAGATGGTACGTGGGTTGCTCAAGACGACACTTTTTATTGAGTGAACATGTGCATAGGAAAGTGCAAAGTGCTCGAAATTCGTGCTTTACACAGACAGCGGTAATCAGAGCATTGGTCGTTGGTAATATGATCTGCGCGAAGGTGCGTCGCCACTTATACACGTAGCATCCATATCGTAGGTGTCTCAAGCTTATCAGAAAATTCTAAAATAATCTAGAGTGTTCGCAGACAGCTAAGCATCCTTGCGCAAGGCAACTGATTAATATGTGGTGTTTAACGTTTCAAAACCACCACGTGATTATGAGAGATGCCGTAGTGGAGGACTCCGGAAATTTGACAACCTGGGGTTCTTTAACATGCACCGAAATCGCAGCACATAGGCCTACAGCATTTTCGCCTCTATCGAAAATAAAGCAGCCGCAGGTGGGACTTGATCCCGCGACCTGCGGGCCCACCTGCGGCTCAGCAGCTGAGTACCTTAGCTACTGAACCACTACGGCAGTGCCTTTGCGCAAGACTGTGACATAAAAATACAAGCGAGCGTGGCAGTATAATAATGTTGTGATAAAATTTCAGCAGATGCAACATGTTTCACTGTGGATGCCATTTTCATACAGAACCGTCATCGGGTGGCCACGCGTTGCACGGTGGATCGACGTCTTTGGGTATTTTGAGAAGGCTAAGTTTCTATCTAAAACATACCGCGTGACGACCGCACTGACGTTGACTGTAAACTTTAGCGAAACGAAGTGCACGCTTCGGTGGGATGATATGCATATCATTAAGAAACTGTTGTGTATTCCTCAAAGGTCTAGATCCTCAATGGTGGAGCAACCCTTCTGGATGAAAGGAATATATCTCCATGTAATGTTTACAGCCAGCCTGTAGACCGCAACAACTAACGGTGTGGGCCGACATCACTCCTGTAAGTCTATTTAGTGATGTATCCGTTACAGTAAAAAGTAACTAAATACCTCACTAGTTACTCAAATAAGAAAAAGGGGAACGTTTCACGGCTCCACGTTATATAGATACATAAAAAAGGTAACGCATTACCGTTACCGTAACCGAAAAAAAAACAGAACGAATGTTACCTCTGCCGTAGCTCCGGAGTCATCAGTTTTAATCAATGGGTCTTTGCTGCAGAAACCCACAATGATAATTTTAAATCTCAAATTTATGTTTCACACATACTAACCCAAGCAAGGATTATACTCAAAATGTTCAATTAACGAGAATTATTTGTACAAATGTACTGAACCTTAGCAATGTCATATAGAAGCTTAATGATGCCTGCACATGTGATGGCTTCTGACTCTACAGTGACACAGGATGAAACCATTTTTTTTTTTCATTGGAGCATTATACACAAAGTGAGGTCCAATAATCCACGGTATTCATGAAGAAACTATCACTGAACTCTCAAGAAATTTCCAAATATCGGCCTTTTCTTGATCTTTCAGCACCTCCAATAAAGCTAGTCGAAATCGCCACTGTTGGATCTAGCCACCGGAATGGCCCGCCGCGCGCCAGTAGGCAATCACGGAGGCCTACGGAGGCCTACATTGGTGCCTTTTTATTAGAGGGGGGAGGGAATCGTGAGATGTCTTGGGGAAAAGGGGGGGACACTTACAAGTTTGTGACACCAGATGTGCCTTGCAGAGACTTAAGTCTAGAAAAATCACGTCTTGCAACACACATCTTGCAATAGCAGCCTTTTTTTAATATGTAGCAGGTTTTATTTTTGTTTATATTAGAATTCAAATCATGCCTAGAAATCAAATATACAAAAGAACAAAGGTTCCCAGCACTCGTAATTGCATTGTTCTATTGTGTCTTTTCCGGAACAAGTCGAGAGTGGCAGTTGCTATTTCGATTTCTTACACATCTTATGGGTATTGAGCACGTGAACACGCTACAAAAAGCATTGAAAAGTTGAATTTTTTAGACATACTTATAAAGCATTCTTATTTGTGACGTTTTTAAAGAGAAAATTTAATGGGGCCCACTTGGAAGGGGTGTCCCCCTGCCCTAACCAAACACAAAGGGGTCGGGGAGTCAACGTTCTTTGCAGGCGTGGTCAACGGACGCCCAGCTCGTGACCAGTATGGACTGTCTATCTGAGCAAATATTGCATTTGCTCTCATCTGCACATATGACCATCGACAGGTTTTTTTCTTGGGGGGATGCAAAGCCTTCTTTCAACTTGCATCACGACTGAGGGAGTAGGTCGTGTTGGTGTCGCTAGAGTGGGTAGCAAGTGCTGGTGGAGCTTGAAGGGTTCAAGTGTCCTTTTTGCACCACCCGCCTCGCCCACGCCCATGTGTACACTTCATTTATTGAACACCGCGCCGAGAACTAGTTGAATAAATGCGCAGATTTGTCTCCTTCCGCATCCTATACCGCTGCATAAAAGATTCTCACATTGTTAAAAGTAGGTATTTTGATTCGTTTGAAGGAAAGTTACATTCAAAGCATGACAGATACTCAAAAAAGCGGTTTCATGCAATCGTAATAAGAAAACTTGAAGCAGAGGTGCTTCTTCTTTTGTGCAGCGTACAATGTAAAAGTAAGATCAGATCCGGAAAAAGCGAAATGAGTGACGTGCGTCACTGCTTGCTCATTGTTCAATGAAAAAAGGTTTCATGAAGTATGACGTTGCCAACAACAACAACAACAACAAACTGATGTATCTTAAATTTAAGAAAAGCAAAGTGCTGCACATTTACCGTAGAACATGGACATAGATTGAAATACGCGTTATTTTTTCATGAAAGCGAAATAAAAACTACTTTACAAAACGCTTTGCATTCATCGGGATGTCGACACATCTGTGTAGTGTCATTTATGCTATTTGGATTAAAATTCCTGAATTTCAACTAATTCAGTAACCTGTGGCGGAAGAGCCTTTTGAATTTTCAGTTTCGGTTTCTGCGCCGCCGACGCCGCCGACGAAAATTGGCCGCACGCCGCCGCCGATGAAAAAACCGGCGTGCGCCGACAACGCCGCCGCCGCCGACTCTGGACGACCCCCACGCCGCCGCCGGTCAAAATCGCCTCGGCGCACACCTCTAATGAAGAGTGAAGACCCATCCTTTCACCGACGTAGTTGCCAACATACATCCAGCATAGGACCATTCTCGGGCCACTTAGTGGCCAATGAAATGCCGTTATTACGCTAGCATTCGCTTTACGACGAATATTGGCTACCATTGGCTTGCCAATTTTTCACCGTTGCTAATAGGGGCTTTCTACAAATGGAATTTTTTAGCCGGCGGACTTCACATTACGCCCCCAGAACTTCCTCTAGCAGCTTATAGCAGCCCCGTACGAGCTTCGCGGTGTATACTTCAAGGCGACTGACCACTGGACGACTTGTGTAGAAGCACTACACGATTCCACTAAATCGTCCATTTTTGCTTTTTTCTTGCATTGCCTATTAGCCTCCCCACATGTAGAGCATAAGACTGCACAAGTCTAATTACTGTTTAGTTTTCTCCATACATTCTTCCTCAGTTTTGTGAGAAATTGTAACATAGGCTGTTCTATCAAGTATTAGCTAAAAAAACATTAACTAAAATAACTGCTCCGTGCAAAATATTCTGCACACAAGCAATCTATAAATAAGAATACCAGAACACAATTTCTTTTGCCTTTATTTCTAAGTATACCAAGTCAAACCATTTATTTTTCAGTTAGGCTTTTCAAGTTACTGCAGTTCAGTAATGCAGCCCAAACTAGGAGGCGAGTTCAGCAAGGCTCTATGGGCATAGGGCTGGCCAGGGCAGCAGAGGTTGGGCGATGATTCAGAGGCTGCAGCAGGAGATGAGGCAATGACAGTGGGCTGCCCAGGGTCCTGCAAGCAGCGATTGGGCAGGAAACCAACCATCACAGGCTGTCGCAGATCCCTGCTCCGAGGGGCAGCAGCGACTGGGCTGCAAATATATGAACACATCTGTGAAGTGCCTTTCCTAACCTCCATCGAGGCCAACAAACTTCGACAGCCACGTCTTGATGAAACGCTGAGCTTTTTCAGACACCTGCATATGTAAATAGAAATAAACACCTCAGAATAAGTTCTAAGCACTGCAGTATAACACATATGCAAGCGAAAACAATGACAGCAGACATCATAATGTACTATCCAGATCAAATGCCATGTGGCCATTATGAAAAGAAATGAACAAATACTTCAACAGTCATTGTGCAAAAAAAAAAAATCTGCAGCAGACCAAAATATGCAGGAATAGGTTTCAATTAAAGTTGATTAAAACAAGCTTGTTTGACTAATTGACAAATAGACACCAGGTCTTTCATGATTTCTACACATGATTTACAGGGTTGCAAGCCAGGTGAACTAGTCTGCAGCTATAGCCTATGGCTGTATAAATTTGTAACAAGACACACAACCGCACGCACTTTCAACTCTGGATTATTCTTCGGCACATGTCAGCTAATACTGCACAAAAGGGTGACAGACGACCAGATAGATAACACAAGATGAAAGAATCTATGCTAACCCAATTTCAGCACTAACACTTCTCAATTATTGCAAGGCTCCTGTATCAATTTTAAAATGGTATCTCCAAAGGCTATGAAAGATGTGCTGATGTGGTTTCCTATGTTGTTCTTTTCGCGTTAAATAAACCTCTGAAATTTCATGTGCTTTTGGAGACTTGCATTGATCCGAAGTTTTGGTTCTTTAGGAGACCAGGACTGGATAGGTAGCTCACCAATAAGCAGTACTTGACAGAACTCGCGATACAATTCAGCCATTTGCGGACCGGCTGCAGGGAGAGCACGTACTTGTGGCGCTGCCGTGCTTCATTTTGGAACGAACAGCTCTAAAAGCCATTGTGCCAGTAATACTGTACTGCAGTTTAAAAAAAAACTGTCTGAAGGCTACTCTCACATAAACAGCACTTGAAAACAGAGAGAAGTTCTGCAAAGCGGACTGCATCTATGCATGTGGCATCGAAGAGACAGTGTTGTGCAGTGATGGCAACTTCCTCGTGATCATTTTCTGGTTGGGATTTTGTGTCATATGCCCGTGCGGCGACGATACTACACTGCGCACTTCTGTAGTGAAAAACAAACAAATGAGTAGTGGCTGCGGCACCACTTTTTCTGGCATCATATGCCCTGTCTGCGGTATGCATGTACGTTGACGTTGATTAGGCAAACAACTGACGGCATAGCACGGGGGGTGCCGCAGTCGTATGCTTGATAGCGCGGGATGGATTTCCGACCATAATGGCTGCATTTAGATGGGGACGAAATATAAAAAGAGCACCCGTGAACCAAAAATATGTGCGCATTGGAGAACCCCAAGCGGTCACAATCTTGGTACGCACACTACAGCGTAACTAAGAATGATATCTTGTTGGCACATTAAAGCCTAGCAATTATCGATGTTGAACAGACATATTCATTCTAGGCCGACACAGGCAAGCGGAAAAAACTGAAAATGCGTGTTAGGTGAACTAAACAAGTAAACATCGAAGACATTTGATACTTCTCTAGCAATGCACAAATTCCGATGTTACTTAGCCACGGCAGCAAGTGAGAAAAACGCTTACTGAATTGGCTGGCTCCATAAAGCTAAGCTTTGAGTAATCTGCTCCTTTGTTTGTAACAAGAACCCTGTCTTTTGCACAAATTAAGTTAAGCAGAGGCACTTCGACATCGAGTTTTCACTGCGAGAGTATCTTTTGACCAGCCCAGAGGCTTATAATTGTGGCCCTGCACAAGTGTTGTGGGCAATGCCCCTTTCCTTTACACGCAACCGTTTACAAAAAAAAAAGACTACCTGCCTATCGTTTCATTCACTACACGCAGTGGCACCAGATAAAGTTTGGTGGTGATGGTCAAATGAACGGACGCATGAAAACTTTGTTAGTCTTGAAGTTCACTACTCAACGCTCAGCGGGCCAGATAAAAAAAATGTTTACAATGCCGTTTGATATATATAATATGCTCGTTTCATTTCCAGCAAAACACCATTTAAACTCGACTGTTTCGCCCCAGCTTCCACTGGTGGCTGTCTTCACTATCGAATAAATATAGCAGACATGTGCCATCCGGTTTAGAAACGAGCCCAACACCACTAGAAAGGAGAGCAAAAGCAGAATTTTGCTCAGCTGATCGCTTGCATGCAACGCTGCCTCCTTTTTCAACGTTCTCCCTTTCCTCTATATGTCCTCCTTTTTACATACTGTTGCACTTGAATACGCAGCAGTACCACCAGTGCCCTTTGGTTTTTTTTAGAGAAATATATTTCTTTAGTGCGCAGGGAACCTTTCAGAAGGAACATATAGCAGAGAGATAGGACAGAGCGTGCACTTACAGCCACATTTATTGCACAGATGGCGGGAATATATATACGGTCAAGAGGGCGAGGAGATCACGCACAGAACAGACAAATGATGGCGCATGCGCCAAACCACCTTATTCTAGTCTTAAAATGACAACTTAACTAAAAAGATACTTGTATTCATTATCCGACAGATTGGCAGGTATCTTAACAGGTAGTTAAGTTGTCATTTTAAGATTGGAATATGGTGGTCTGGCGCATGTGCCATCATATGTCCTTTCTTCTGTGTGTGATCTCCTCACCCTCTTGGCTGTATATAATTTCCCGCCATCGGTGCAATTAAATTGGTTGTAAGTGTGCGCTCTGTCCCATCTCTCTGCTATATCTTCCCTCTGAAACATTCTCTGCGCACTAAGTAAGTATATTTCTCTCAAAAAATGCAATACCAACCAGCCCAAGTAGCCACTCCTTTGGTTTTGTTACGGCGATGCGTGCACGCACCATCTCTACCAGCTGCCACTCTCGTCTGCGGGAGCAGCTGAGAAGTGCGCGCTCTCACCGCCAGGGTGGGCGCGGAACTCCAGCGCTGGTTCCCTATACTAGCAACGTTTAGGATTCGGTGGTGCGGGTTCCGGAGAAAAAAGCCTTTGAGAAGGATAACTTCAACATAGCAAACTTTGAACGACCCCTTTACCTGGGATGAGCGACAGAAGTCAAACCTGGTAGGCACATCATCAGCACTATGGGGAGGACCCTAAAGAACCGGAAATGACCGGACTGTGAAGACACAATTTTGTACTCAATTGAATCCACTAGGCAAACAAGGTATCTTTGAGGTAAAACATCTTGATTGAGAAGGTACATGTATGAATAAATTTTCATACAACTGTGAGGTTGCTTGAAGAGAAACCAGTTGTAGATAACTCAAATGAACTTTTCATTGTGTAACTTTGTGCTAGCCTTTTTTTCTCAATCATATTCAGCCAAAAACAACGTTGTCACAAAGCTGCCCACACGATGTAGAGTCATTTGCCCCACTTCAATAGAGCCATTTGTATTGAAAATTGGGATCAGTAGAACACTCCGTAGTGCGAGGGAATGTTTTATAAACGTTCTGCCATTCTTCATTTGCCTTTATATTGACGATTCTCCAGCAAGAAAAAAAAACATGAAAAATCTGTCACAAAGTAACCCAATTTCATGGTAGTACAGGTCTTCGACATCTAAGCTAAATTCACTGCATGTCTTCGGATCATTCTGCCGCAGAAATATCACGATAGTCCCTGAATTGGGCACAAGAAAGGGATCATAATAATGCTATGCCATGCCCCAAAAAGAACTCATGACTGCGGTTAAGTCGCTAGAACAAGAGGTCAACGACAAGGCCAAGTTCAATGAAGTGATAGGACTAAAATGCCAGTGAACCTCCGATGTTTTACTTGAATAAAATCAAATATGGCTTCAAAGCAGTGTTCGCAGTGACTCGTGTTGCACCAGCAGTTGGAAATATTTTCTTAAAGGTACACTAAAGAGAACCAATGCCTCAGTTTAGACGACTTACACGCTGCACGCCGAGACCTCTCATGCCACAAATCCATTATCAGAGGAGAAAATTAGGGATGAAGTTTATTTTTATTTTCTGATGCTCAAATTGTGAAAATGAATTGTATTTTTGCAACATTGGCTTGATGAATATTCCTGAAACTTCGTATCTTAGGTCCATCACACCAACAGATAACAGTGTACTTAATTTTGATGAATTAATATTTACATAAGACCCAGTCCACGTGTTTGAATTTTATGATGTCACCTGGTTTCGTGCGAGAAGATCAAGTCAGCATCTCCACCCACATTTTCTTATCGCGCATTATCTCACTTACGAAGCATCGTTTCGCGGTAAGGGTAGTATTTCCTGGATTGAGAAATTGTACTTGACTAATACGCGAAAAATGTTTTTGGTTTTAGTGTCTTTAAAAGGTGTACCGAGACAATTTTGAGACATCGCAAAAGGGACATTTTTAGTTTCCTCGGTATGCAAGTAGTATTACCACTTGCCACACAATAGTCAGCCAGCGTGCATGAGATAGTTACTTTGATTTTAAAGTTTTTGTTCCACAGTATTGGCAAGCAATGGAGTGGACATTATCGTGACGCGTCAACAAGGTTCCTCCGAGTTTGCAAACGGAGTTTCCATGCAGCCTGAATCACAGAAATCACTGTCATGGTCAATAGGGACAATGCACTCATGGTTTATATGTACCACGAGCAGATCACTTTTCTGCCATTAGTACGTAGCGGATTACCAAGTTCCTGCAACGTCACACTGCCTTATCATATCACAAAGAAGCCACCCACTTGATATCGAAATCGATAGTGTCTTTTAAAGGTAGAGGTATTAAAAACATATGCGATCCTCTCCCACGCAACACAAACTACCTTCTTGAGACCAATCGTCTTCTATAGAACAATTTCTAAATATTGAAAATTCGTCTCAGTACTCCTTTAAGTGATGCCAACAAGATGAATCAAGACAGCAATATCAGATGGTTTGGCAGTATGTATTTCGGTACATGCACGATTACCTGATCAATTGTGAAGCGAACAATATAACGAATGAATGATAGATCACAGCCGGTCTATAGGCGCGCGAGCGCTCCGTGCTTTTATGGCCTAAGCAGCCGCCGCGAGTAAAATATAGTTGTTTTTATACAGTGTCAGCGCACTCCG